ACAACTACTGCGTACTAATTTTTCATGCTTTATTGATTAAGGTTCAAAAAAACCTCTAGAAATTTAAAATTTTCTGACTAAACATAGGCGTTTTTGCCGCATTAGCAGCAGCGATCCTATGAATTGAAGACTTGAACGATCAATTACAAACGTATTCACTTATGTAAATGAAGATGTCTGAAAGAAAATAGCTTACGGTGGTGACGTCGACGTTTGTCGTTTTTTCTATTGGAGTGGTAATATGAGCAAGAGGGCAGAACAACTGTAATTTTTTTAACAGTTGAAGGTTGAGGCCTCTGTTGCAAAGTCGTTAAAAATGTATAATCGCACTTTTTTCAATTTCTTCATCAAGCTGTTCACAACGTCATCTTAGTTCACCTCATTTATAATAAAACCTAACAGAGAAGACTGTCTTGAGCGAAGAAAATTCGTTTCTTATTGTACTTGAATAAATCATGTTGCGAGCTGAGCTCTAATATATTTTGTTAATTCCGCTACATTTTATTCTTGTAATGATCAAAGCAAATAAGCACCAGCAGTCAAGATATTCTTCTTTCAATGCCTAAAAATTATCAAAAACCCATATTTGAATTTCTTTCCAATTTTAACTATCTGTGCTTTTTCATTTTCTACAAAGCTGAAGTAATCCTACGCTCAAAACTTTTCGTAAGTCTTATAAAACTTTGCATTCAAAATTTTCCTGACGTCAAAAAACTTAATTTCTTTTTTTTTTGAATTTTGAAAAAGCTTGCTGCTAGGTTTTGTTTACATGACAAAAAGGATTCTTTTAAAGTTATCCTGATTTTGGAAAACTCTGGTTTTGCACTTTAATATAGAAAGGAATAATTATGATTTGGTTTGTGGTATGTAACAAAATAAGATCAGTGTTTCACGACTCAGATTTTCTGTTTGGTATACTATATTTTTGGAAAAGTACTTCGTAAGAACGCAACAATAGCATTATCTGTTTTATCTTCAACATTTGAAAATTCTCACTTAATTATTTTAAAATTTTTTTTTCTTACAATTTCCAATAATGCAGTAGAAATTTTTTCAATACTTGATGTAGATCGTTTGCTCAATCTTAAACGTAAACAGATTTTTGAGAAATATATTTCTTGATGATGACTTTGAGCAAAACCGACCGTTTCTAAAGTTGCTTTTTGGGAGACGCGTTGTAACGCAAGTGACGATACTGCCGGAGAAAAAACACTTTGCTATTTTGTTTCCGTGCAAAAGGTATCGTGCAGACTTTCAAAGCATTGCCGGTACTTACCGACAGGGGTTCTTCACTCGGTGTTCATCCCTCGAAGAAACTCCAACTGAGACAGAAGAAAGAGGTGTTATTCACTGTCACTTGAGCATTTAGTACTATTAAGGAATACCTCACAAACAGTGAAAATCAAAAGTAGATTTCAAAAAAAGAGAACGAATAGTACAGAGCGTAAGCTGTAATAGAAAAAAAACGAAAAAGGTACCAGTTTCAAAACTCACAAACAATAAAACCAAACGTTTTTAAAGACCCGTAAAAGAAACACTAAGGTCTACGCCGAATATTGTTCTAATCTAACAATTCTTTAAGCTTGCTATTTTTGCTTTTACCTGGTAGGTTATACTAAGAAAATACTTGACAATAGAAGCAAACAGTTTTTAAAATCACCGACTGTTTTTTTCCACTTTCTGTTATTTTAAGAAAATGAAATTTAAAGCAGACACGAAAAAAATTGTTTTGTGCACAGAAAATTTACTAGCTCAAAACAAGGCAACACTTCGCCTGTGAGAAGTGATCCTGAAGCACCCAGGATTTATCAGATACTATGCTGGAGAACTGTCAAAACTGTCGCCATATACTCAAGTTTAGTTTCCGTTTGTCTTCATAATATTTTTAAAAGAGTATAAAGTTATGATCAGCTACAATAAAAAAAGTACTCGGCATCTTTGGAATGGCTTTAAGACATCTAATTCGTGACAAAACTGAATGATAATTGAGGAGGAATCTCATACGGACACCTCGCTAAGTCTACCTGTCTAAAAACAAACAGGCTTTTTGAGACAACAACTCTTTTTTCCTAATATTTACTTTTGCATAGCAAATCTGCTATTACAATAAATCTTTTTTAAAACTAGCTAAACCAGCTTTGTTCGCAACTCAAAGTTTCCTGAGAAATATACAACCAATACAAGATATTACTTCATCTCGAAAAGGAAAAGAAGTCGTTTGAGAATTCTTTTTTTATTAACATTGTCTTCATCTTTTGCTTTTAC